CAATTTTATCATCGGATTAAAAAATGGTTTAACAGCTGCACATCTGGGTCACAATAATGAAATGAACAGAAAACAATAGCAGGCCCTATCCAGTGCTAAACTATTGTTTACTCCATCATGTCACATCAGTCAATGATTCCATTTAATTTCGATTCACGCTTTGCACCGAAACAATTTGGGGTTGAACAGTTACTTTCAACATTGCCAGGCGTCAGATAAACAGATAAACGTCAATTATTTTATCACCGGCGACGTGTGATCGTCGGTGAACGTGTGCGTGGTTGGGAAAAATGACAAATTATACGTTAATGTAATAACAAAGCGAGTGAAAACTGTAATCTATTTGTCACGCTGACGTCGAAAATTCCGACACCATTTAGAGAGATATTGAAATAAATTGAAAAATATACTGAAACCAAACTGGGAATCAGAGAAAATATGCTTGCTTTCGCAGTAACTGGTTAATCTCTGCTTTATGATTATTTCAAAAAGTTTGCTGATTACNGTATATCTGACAGGGTGTCATTAACCTGCTTCTACTACCTGCGTAATTTAGTAAAACATTTCAAAATAAGCCATATGTATCCACTCTAATACACATTGTCATTAGGCAAGACATTATTTTAAAAGCACGTCTAATATTCGTTTCATTAAATTTGAAAAATTAAAATTGATAAATGAAACTTGTGTTTGAACATTCATAACAAATTTCTAGTTATTTAAGATCATATATGGCCGGTTTCTCAAAATTTGGCGCAATCCATTCGATAACTATCGAGTAGATAAATTTATCACACCGATAACTTTATATTGGTTTCTGAACGCATGCCTTTCAAATTTTGTTGAATACATAACACATGGAGACTAGATAAGGAGCACGAACTCATACGGGAAAATTGACAAAATTTGTCCAAGAAATGGCAGAAGTTGGGGTGGCGCTAGTGTTCCATATGACCCAAATGAATGTAGCTTCATAAATACGAGTGAAGTAAGCAAATAACCAATTTTATTTTATTTATATTGAGTTTAATAGATATATTGGGGAGCGGGGAGGTATACTAACCTAAAAACTAGAAGTCAAGTCAATAATTATTACAATTTGTTTTTATAAATGGTAAATAAAAAGTTTCGAAAATAATTTAAATATGGTAATAGTATGTGAAGTGAATGACTGTCAACAGATTTAAAATAAAACAGTACGTTTGTGATCTGCATTTTCAATCTAATGATGTCCAGCAGTTCTATATTACAACTTGACCGAATAGTGGGTTAATATTATGGCAAAAGGTCGAATAATTCGGAAGTTGGAAGCAGCTTCTTTGATTCTTAATACGGTAGAGAAATTTTTAAATAGAAAGATTTCATAAGTGAAAATATTGTATAATTGAATGATGCATTGTTTCTTTATATATTTTGCAGCAGCATCAACAGCAAGAGCATCCGCTACACCAGCAACAACAGGTGCAGCAGCTACAACAAGAGCAACAGTTACAACAACAACAACAACAAGAACAGCAAGTAAATCAAGAGCAATTAAGTTACGATGAGATTATACTAGAAAGTGAGCATCCTGTCCTGTATAATCTAATAAAAGAAAAGTTCTGTTGACGTGTGATGAGGTCTCGACAAAGCAACTATGAATATGTTCACATAATATTGACAATAGCAACAAAGTATACTTTATTTATTTCTACATATTCTTGTAATTTATATTACGTGCATAAATAATTAAATTCGTATCTTTCATATAATTCTTGCTGGTGACATCGCTATTATCATTACTGAATTGAATAAATCATTTCCAATTAGTTGCTGTTTCTTTCCTGTTAGTAAAAAACTGATTGAAATTCAGATATCATATAAAATTTAAAGAGAGGATACGTGTAGTAATTGATGCTGATCGATCTGTATTGGTAATTGACTACTTTTACTAAATATTTAAACATGGAAATCAATTGCTTCATGAACAAAATGAAATTTTAAGAAGATAGACTGACACGTATTACTTATTTTTAAGTTGTTTTATTTGTAATATATATTTACTTTGTTACTTGTTTGTTATGAATAAATATTTATTTTATTTTAATTAGGCACAAATAATTTCGTTTTTTTTATTCAATTAATAAAACATTGAAATCTTTGGTAGATAAACATTTTATTTTTACAAAATATATAACAAAAATATAGAACATTGCTAAAATATTTCTTTATAATACCTTATTAATTTTGGTCTATACTCTACCTTGGAATAAGTCATGGAACCATGTTACGTTCGAATTAAATCAACAATTTTACGAAAGTAGAATTAAATTTTACAGCAATTTTAAAATATATACCCAGAAAACTAATCGATTTTAAACAGTTATAAAATATTTAGATTACCTATTTTTTGTGACCTTTATAATGGAGTACCTATATTTTGTTAAAATTTTGGTATCAATTGGTTGTCATGTTGTTTTAAGCTTCTTGACATTTTGAGAAGAGAGCGATATGACTCTCGAAGCATTGAGAAGTCTAAACCGACAACATGGCAATCAGCTTAGAAATTGTCCAACCATAATTTATCGACTTTCCATAGTCAGTTTTCAGTTACACTATAATAATATAGTATATTATTGGTTATTCAAAAAAATATGGATTGTGATATACTCTATCTTATATGAATTCCTTTCCCATCAATTATTCCTATAACCTGCTCTGGAAATTCATATTGGGCAAAATATTGTTCGATTACAACTGCCTCATTATCTCGGCCATTCTATAATTTGTGGAGACAAGTTACTTAGCAAGTATGTAACTTTTCTGGTTGTTGTAGAGCTTAAGGCAATGCAAAATTTACCAGAATCATGGGTGAAATAATTAGAAATGGCAAATTTTTCTTCAATTCTGTTAGCTACTTCCCATATGCTAACATGGACATGTTAAAAAAACTTGGCCACTATATTCAGGTACAATAATTTCAAAGTAGTTCTTATTTTTTACTCTATCTGTTTCTTAGAATAAATCTATTTCATCACCACTCTCAAGCTGGACAATGCGTCTAATAAGTCATCTGAATCACTGGACTCAAAATCGGACATCTGTAATATTTTAAAAAGTTTATTTAAAACACCGAGTTTTTTTATATTCTATTTTTTATTACCACAAGTAAAAATTCCATATTAATAATACAAGAATTACTATTTTTTTAAAGGCAACTTCCTGTATAAAATGTGACTATCTTTTACTAACATTAAACTAAAATCTTTAACAAAGTAATTATCAAAAACATAAACCTTACTTATAGGTTAATATTAACAAGATCACGTCATAAATTCCTTGAAAACTAGTTTCTTTCTACGAACACCAAATTCTTCTCATAAAGCTAATATTTTTTATTATCTATTTAGTTTAATTACAGTCCGGAATGACATATTTTCATGATTTATATAATTCAAAGTAGCTTACATTATTTATTTTAAAATTTTTAACACATTACAAAAATGACATGATTGATTTATAATTCAAACTGCCGCTTTTTATCTCCCCTCTCTACATATGGGACATATGGAACACTAGCGCCCTCTTATTTTTGTAAGATTTTTGTTTACATTGAGTTCGGGCTCCTTGTATAGTCTCCATGACATAACAGTTGAATGGATAGCTTAGTATCTGCAATAATCATAGAGGGAGCTAGCAAATACACAAGTGTTTGCAGATCCCATTTATGAAAAAATACACTTTCAAGAAATAATTGTAGATGACGCCACTATCGCTCTAATAAAATTGATAACCACATAACCACAATTTACATTAATACCCTAGATAAATGATACTATAGATAGGAAACTTGAACAAATTTCGTGGTCATTAACAACGCTAACTGTTGACACTTTCTCCAACTTCTATTGCTTTCCTTTTCTAGGAATTATCGGTAATACAGTGAGTTAAATTACCTGTAGCCGGTAAAAGATGCAAGCGCCATCTAGTTGTACGCTCTACAACTATATACCTACCTACTCAATATTTGTTTTAGGTATTCTGCCGCCGCTAAATTTAAAATTACATAACAAATCTCACCCTACACAGATCACTCAGAAATTGATTTTGTAAAATAATTTTCACGTAGATAATTTTTTTTGTCACCATGAGAAAATAAGTACATTTGATAAAAAGCATTAAAATCACTCAAGCATTAAANGTAAAAATACCCTACTATTAGCTTTCATTAGTTAGCTCTCATTTTTTCCCATAGGATAGACACTTTCAAAAATTTGTATTCAGAACATAAAAGAAGTAAATAATGTTTTGGAAATACGGATACCTGATAGGATTAAAACTTCAGGATATAAAAAGGTACAAACCTTAACGGTTTTCTGCATATTTTCAGACAATGTGCCTATGTGTTGCTAGAAATTTATCATATTATATTCAAAAAACAATTAGACCTGAAGGACAAGATAGATTATTTGTGACTTGGAAAACACCTCATAATTCCGCTAGTTGCAGCACTCTAAGTAGGTGGGTTAAAAGAGTATTACAAAAGAGTGGAACGGATATTTCAAATTTTTTAACACACAGCACTAGACGTGCTAGTACTTCGGCGGCCCTACGGACAGGGGTGAATATTGAAGTAATTAGAGCTATTTTATATCAGCATTAAATAAATATGGAATTAATGTATTATGGCCGGTTTCTCAACATTTGGCGCAATCCATTCGATAACTATCGAGTAGATAAATTTATCACACCGATAACTTTATATTGGTTTCTGAACGCATGCCTTCCAAATTTTGTTGAATATATAACAGTTGAATGGATATCTTAGTACCTGGAATAATCATAGAGGGAGCTAGCAAATGCACAAGTGTTTGCAGATTCCATTTATGAAAGAAGACATTTTCAAGAAATAATTGTAGATGGCGCCACTATCGCTCTAATAAAGTTGATAACCACATAACCACAATTTACATTTATCGTGTATTTACAAACGTACCTGTTCGAGTTTTGAGTTTCTTTATAATGTCAACAGAGTAAAATGGAAAATAATGAAAATATAAAACGTGCACGCAATTTCAGCGACTTTGACAAAAACGTTTTGTTCGAAATTGTGCAAAATTATTTGCATATTGTTGAAAATAAAAAAACTGATGCCTCAAACGTTAAGCTAAAAAATGAAGCATGGGCATCAATAGCCAGACAATTTAATTCTACTTGCCAAAGTGGAATTAGAACTGAAAAACAGCTGCACGCTTTATATGATGGCATTAAGAAAAAAGCAAGGAAAAATATGTATCATGACAAGGTTAGTAAAATTATTAAATATAATTGTTTCAATAATTAAATATAATATTTTAGTATTACATCTGTATATTTATTTCTATTTGTACCTATTTTCAGAAAGAAACATATAAAACTGGTGGTGGTTTATTTACCCCGAAGAGTGATAATCTGGACTCAAAAATTGTTCAAACATTAGGGGTTCAGTTTCATTCACTGCCAAATCCTTTTGATTCTTCTGCAGATTATTTAAACGAAGGTAAGAAAGTGAAAAATCTATGAGCATTTTACCTAGTTTAATACCTACAAATCTATATATTTTTTAGAAGTTATGCCTGGTTCGGAAGACAGAATAAATCTAGGAACTTGTCAACAAGACTGCATACAAGTTAACAAATCAGCAGAAACTATACAAATGGACATAGGAATAGAGTCACAAATGAGCGCTGTTAAATCTATGGAAGTTAATACAGGAGAGGAAGGTAAAAAAATATACATGTCTATAAGTACTCTGTTATATTTTCTTTTAAAAAAAAAAAATAGTAATATTCTAAATTGTGTATAAAATTTCTATCAAAAATTATTAAAATAACAATATTTGAAATTTTTAGAACAAACGGTAAAAGTTATAGCTGTTGAGGTAGTGGAACCATCGTCAATGTTGCAAACGCCAATGAAGAAACGAAAGATCCTTGCATCAGCTGGAAAGTTATCTGAAAAAAAAGAATCATATTTAAGTACACTTAGTAAAAGAATAGTAAACAGAAAGAACAGTAAAGATTATAATGATGATAAAATTAGGAATAAAAAATTATAAATATTAGACAAAGAAGAGTCAATAAAATATAAAGAGTTAGAAATGAAAAATATGGAGCTACAACATATGAGAAGAAAGTATGATATAGAAATGCAACACATGCAAGCAAAACAAAAATTAGAATTAGAAATAATGGGGACTGAGTTAAATATAAAAAAAGCTGAATTAAAAGAAAAGGAACTACAAAATACATTATAATTTGATTACTTTAAAAATTGTTATATTAATAAACATGTTCTATTAATTTTTGTATTATTTATTATACAGGGTGTTAATTAAGTATGTACAATAAATTTAACAGACGATTCTTTGAGTGATTTTAAGATAAAAAGTTCATATATACATGGATCCGCAAGTGCTTTGTTCTCAAAATACAGGGTGTTACACTTTAAAAAAAATGTATTTTTATTTGCTTAATCCAAAGAAAATACAAAAATTGCAAAAAGTCAGCCGTAAATTTAATTAATTTAGGGCTAAATTAGTCCCTTAACACTATAAATAACATTTCCAAATTACAACAAAATTGGTTAAGGGTTTTTTAGGCCTTTTGGGAAAAAATTTTTTTTTTTAAAAATGTAACACCCTGTATATTGAGAACGAAGCACTTGTGGATCCATGTATATATGAACTTTTTATCTTAAAATCACTCAAAGAATCGTCTGTTAAATTTATTGTACATACTTAATTAACACCCTGTATAGGTTTCGGTACCTACCTAAAATAATTTTCTATTACACTTCTTCTGAGTGCATTGCCTCCTACATGATTTTGTTCATTATTATGGGGAAGATCATTCTCAAGCAAGGGTTCCTGTTCTATTTCTTCAAAATATCATTTCCTGCTATTGCCATATTTTGCAAAACAGCTGTTGCCACAATCACTGACAAAGTAGTGTTCAACTTGGTTCGAAGCTGTAACGAAAGGCAAGCAAATCTTCTTTTCCAGACACCGAATGTTCGTTCTATTGTATTTCTTGTCTGAATTCTTGTCTGAATATGAGCTGCATTGTAATTGTTTTCTGGTGCAGTGTTTGGGTTTAACAGAGGTGTTAGGAAATACTCTGTACAACTGTAGGCACTGTCTCCTAACAAATAACCACCTTCAAATTCACCTGCTTCTAAAGATGCACAAACGAGTGAGGCATTAAACATTGTGCTGTCATGAGTCGACCCAGGCCATCTAGCAACAATATCTCTTATCAATAATGTAGAGTCACAGATCGCTTGTACATTAACAGAAAAATAACTTTTTCTGTTTCGAAATATTTCTGCATTATCCCCTCCCGGGGATTGTATACGTATATGTGTCCCATCAACACAACCAATAACATTTGGAAACCGTCTTAAATTATATAATCCAGTTTTAACAGCCATTACTTCATTTTCATTTTGAGGCATTTGCACAAATTGTGGACGAAGTCTTGCTATCGCCTCCGTTACATTTTGTATGACTCTACAAACACTTGTTTTGTGGATGTTGCAGTAATCCCCTATCAAAATTTGAAAACTTCCTGGAATAATCAACAAATTGTTAACTTTATATAAAAAAATTCAGTATCTAATGATATCACATCACATTAACTAAATAAAAATATATACAAACCTGTTGCATAAAAACGAAGTGTTATTAAAACCTTTTCTAATACTGATAGCGAATTTGTTCTAGTACTAGACACTTGAATACTATCTCCTATTAAATCTATCAGTAAATTTACAGTTCCTTTCGTTAAACGAAACCTCTCTCGAAATTCTGAGTCGCTGTATTTTTCATACTGGTCTTCTCTTTCACGATAACGTCTTGGCCGTTCGAGATATCTGACTATATTTAAATATTCTTCATCTGAAGAGGTAGACGAATCAGAATTTTCCATTGCACAAAGTAATCATCACGAAAATATCAAAAAATATCCAAAAAAGTTGGGTTAAGTCTTACAATAAAGATGTAAACAAGCAAAAGCTAAATAGCGGCGCGCGTGCGCTAATGTTTATTGGACAGATATCTTGCCATTTTTCTTTGGATATGTGTTCGATAACTTATGCAATAGATAAGCATTATCGAATGGTTCAGAAACCGAATTCATGGGATATCTCCACTTTATGGAATCGATAAGTTTATTTAATAGATATCTACTACTTGAGAAACCGGCCATAAGAGGTCTATGATATTCAAATAAATCTGTATCTCCCTTTTTATATAAGGGTTTTATAACTGCAAGTTTTAACTGCTCTGGAAATATTCCGTATTTAAACGAATTATTCAGTATATGGCAAATTACAGTGTTTATCTCACATATACACATTTTGATTATTGCAGCTGGAATTTCATCATCTCCACTACTATATTTATTTTTTATCATTTCAGATATTTTTACAATATCGTCAGTAGGTGTTAGTGATTTTAAATACATCGATTTATTATTATCAGGTATATCACATTGAAATGGAATAATTTTTTCATTTCTAAACAAATTTGGAATTACATCAGTTAAGTATTTATTACAATCATTAGCAACATCTAGTAAATTCTGTTTTTTCGGGAAAACATCATCCTAAGTTTGGCATCTCAATTGTACTAGAAAATTCTCCTTATTTTGTTGAGTATAAAATCTTTTGTATATTTTACTATTGTGAGAATTATAATTTTTAATTTCAAAACAAATTTTTTGCGCCCTGTGATCTGAAATAAGTGAATCTAAAACATTTACCAGATATTGATCAATATTAGTTAAGATATTGTCAATGCAACTTTTGCTGTTAGTCGTAATCCTTGTGTAATCGGTAACAGTTAATTGTATACCAAAGGAATTTACTACAGAAATTAATCGTGATTTATTTTCATTATCATTTTTCATTTCAATGTTAAAATCACCTGCAATAACCAATAAAACATTTTTTTCAAAAATCGTCGTTAACATTACTTCTAGTTTATCAAAAAATACCTTTAAGCAACCACTGGGTGGTCTGTAAATTACAATGATAATAAGTTTCAATTCATTTAATGAAAATTCAGCCGCTGTGCACTCAAAGTCTCCACTCACTGACAACTTATTTACCCTGTTACACAATCCAAACTGTAGTTCGCTTCTTGCATAAAGTGCAACACCTCCATGTTGACCGCTCTGCCTGCAAAAACTCGATACAAGTCTAAAATGTTGAAACCCGTATAAACTTAATTGGTCATTCGATTTCCAATGTTCTGTTATGCATAAAAACCTACATTCTTCATTTTCTCTTAGCAGCTCTTGAAGTTTATCACTCGCATTGCCAATAGACTGAACATTCTGATGTATAATGCTGAGATTGTTATTTTTAACAGTATTTGATTTACTTGCATCAGAGGATGTTAGTTCTCCAACGTTGGTGTTTCGGTTATCCGAAAATTCTTCTGGTACGATTTTTGTGGGAATCTAAATCTTCTCACTGCTGCTCCTGTTGGCCATAAATTTGGGTTATATACCTCCTTAACATATTCTATTGGGAAATTCACTTTATATGACACTGAATCGTCACTCCGTCGTAACTCTTCCCACTGAAAGCCTATTTCTGGTGCACTTTCCTTCATATGCGATTCCAATTCGTCAATAGTTGTATCTGGATGAATTCTGAAAACGTGCAGATAACCTTTCTTTGGTACAGTCTTGAGTGCATTTGATTTATTGTTGTTGCAGCCGATTATTGTTTTGAATCGGCTTTGTGTGTTTACATTTCTTTGCTGAGAATTACATCCAGCTGTGTCAAACGATGTTTTCGTTTTTTTATGTGGTGGCGTTTGTGTTTTTACTTCCACACTTTTTGCGCTCGGCAGAGGCATTCTTTGTTTCTGATTACCACTTTTATTGTCCCCGTTTTTACAAGGATTTATATCTGGTTTTGCCGTATTATTTATAGATGTCGTTGGTTGCTCTGTTTTGCTATAAGACATATTATTGTTTAATTGTTTTAACAACAATATAAGATCTCCTTGCTCTTCCGTTCGCTTTTCCAGGTGATAGGATAATTTTCTTAGAGTGTCCAGTTCACTAGTTATGTTGTTTAACTTCGATTTTAGATTTACACATTAGCTGTTTGCACAGATATTACCTATTACAGTTATTTCCTTGTTCACGTCACTCACTCGCGTTTTCTTCAGATAGTTTGTTAGCACCGCATTGTGCACTCCACTTGGCAATTTATTTGTAATTATTATGTCCACTAATTCGTTTTTACGAAGTTTATTTAATTCCGCCGTTACTGACCCCACATCTGCTTCGGCCGCCATATTAAACATTAGACCTGAGAAAACTAAGCATTATCTACTTCTTTCAGATGGTATGATATATCTGAAACCATAGATACTGTTGAAGGGCAAATCTTCTGAGGTTTCATTTTAAAAACTAGCTCTTGTAAAAAGAGCCACAGTGGTTCACTTTCATGTGGGTATTCAACATCCAGGGCATGAAAAAGCTTATAAAGTAACTCTAAGGCTCTAATGCCAGTATCAACTATATACTGCACATCATCAACAACTACAATATATGATGGTTTGTTTAACTCACCAGAAATTACACCAAATGGTTGAAGTGTCAAGCCAAATTGGTTTAGTTTATCTTTTCGCGATGCAATCTTTAATTGCAGCTCATCCAAATTCTGAAATTAAAAAAATACCAATGATGTGGCTATTTACTTTTCTTTCATTGGAAAAAGCTTTGTTTGTTTTCCTTGGCACGACAATTTTGACTTAACATACTATACCTATGGGATTTAAAAAATGTACAAATTTTTGTAAGAGTGAGTACTGACTTTCTTGTTGATGACAGAAAATATAAAGAAACATTTGTGAGAAATGTTACAATTTGAATAATTTAAATATTTAAAAAAGCCATACCTGAACATGAAAGAAAAAACTTTCCTGTACCTCATTTCTGCTAGGACGCCAGTTCTTTCCTTTTGAAGACCTTTTTATAGTAACAGGACTGAATAAAAATGGTAAAACCAGTAGTGTCTGAGCCACTTGATCTAAAATGAAGCATCCAAAACGATAACCCCAGTAAACGTAACAATCAGAAGGGAATCTTCAGTATGATTTTTGGTACCGAATTAATAACCTTAAAGCGAGCGTCCATATTGTCTGCGAGAGTAGATAAATACGTCGCTAGAAATCTGGAATCGATTGTGCACTTTCATGCTACCTTATTATATCAATCACTATTTTATTTACCCGTTTACGTGTAAATTTATTAAATTTGTTAAGTAATTTTGACTTTTCCAAGTAAAAAATTGTAAAATGGCAACTCCTGACATCTATTTTTTCTCTAACTAATTATGAATATTACATCATTTTCATATGGTGCCATCTACTAGCAATATTGTTTACTCTCGCAGAGAAGATGACAGTCATTTCAAGGTAAGCAGAAATGTACCCGCGAACTTCAAAGGTACCAACAGGAAGTTTCCTTACTGATTGTTATGTTTACTGGGCTATAACCTTTATATTATTATACTATATCTTTTATATTTGAATGCTTATACCTACCAATTTCTGCAGAATGAAAAAGGTTAATATTTCTTTCCTTTGCTTCAGCCAATATACCACACGATACCTGACTCCATGTTCTGTATATTATATCTGTAGATTCAGGGAACCTTTTATTAAAATCCGTTTCAATCTAAAATGAATACGAAAATTTGGTACTTGTTATAGAAGTGTTGGGTATGTTGTTTATTTGAATAAAAACATCAAAATGCTACTCATCAAAAAATTATTAAAGCTCCAATTTGACAAGTGATACTTTGGGGAATTAATAACCACTCTACGATAGCATTTAGAAGAATATACAGGCGGTCTACTATAAGAGGACCACTCCCATGTATCTTGATTAATACACGACATACGTCAAAAATCTTCAAATGATTTTTGTTGCATTTTTGGAGACCTTTGTGCTTGTAAAAACAAGTTTTAGATTTATGGCCAACTTTATGAGTAATAATAAAAAAAACTTTAGGACTGTTCAACTTTTTTATTTTAAGAGACAGAGAAAACTTACTTTAATAAAATTTGATGACAAAATTAATTTCATCTGGTATATTCGGATTTTTGAAATTATGTATGTGAGTGGCTGCGCCCTCTAGGCGGGCAAAAAAAAATTTATCGAAGCAGGCTATGGTCACAAAAAATTCTTATTTTTTCCTTTTTTTGTGCGATATACCACATATCGTCCTTATCTTTTATATTTGTTAATTATTTTACAAAGTATGTATAAAAAATTTACCTAAACATGGCTGCTTTGATGGGAACTTTTTATTTTGCTCGTTTAGAGATTTTATTAAAATAAGTTTTCTCTATTTCTTAAAATAAAAAAGTTGAACAGTCCTAAAGTTTTTTTTATTATTACTCATAAAGTTGGCCATGGATCTTAAATTTGTTTTTACAAGCATAAAGGCCTCCAAAAATGCAACAAAAAAAATATTTAAAGACTTGACGTTTGTTACATATTAAGCGAGATACATGGGAGTGACCCTCTTATAGTAGACAGCCTGTATTTAGTGTCCCTAGTACCTACACAATGAGCACTTTAAGATGACAAAAATATAAAGATGCTTACCAGATCAAGTCCAGAATTATTCTTTAAACAGGGAAAGTCACCATATATTTCATTTAATTTACTATGAATATATTTCCGTCTTCTTATTTTAAAAGTTTCTTCCCATGCCTCAAAAATTTTATGAATTGGTTCTGTAGCAACTTTTAAGAAGCTCATATACTGTAAGTCCTTATCACTGTTTTCGGGACTTGGGGAAACAGTTTCCTTTCCTTTTTGGCTAGTAGTTGCTAAACTATTATTTGCTAGTTTTAATGCAGCTTTTGTATTTATATATTTGGTGTACAGCTTTCCCCTAGGACCAGTTTTATTTGCCGAACTATAATATGTCTCCTTTATCTCAGATGTAAATAGAGTCTCTATTTCCTCAGCAGCCTTAACAAATATCTCTGCTCTTATTCTACAAAATTAAAACAATCAATTTTATCTAGGACTGGTAAATATGCTTAATGAAAGTGATGCTTATAGGTATTTTTTTAGTTAGAATGAGGGGTACAGATAATATTACGTTCTACTTGTTTAAGTTAACGTTTTACTTCAAAAGCAGATAATTATTTACTTACTCAGTTCCATAAATGGCAAATAGTTCTGTAATTATCACCTTGGTCAGTTTGCTTCGGAGATCATTTGTGAGTTTGTCCTTTTTTATTAAAACTAGCTGACCATCAGGATATTTATTTAAAACTGCTTGAAGATCCTGAAAATTTTATATATTATAGCACCGAGTAAAAGAACACCATTTCATTCACTAACTACTTATTTCTTATCCTTATTTTACATATCTAATTTATTTAAAAAAATTACCATTTCAACAACATATTGTCTTTCTATATTATTAAATATTATTACCTGAGGAAAAGGGCTAGTGAATGTATCTGGTTTCTTTCGTTTTAATGGTGCATCTGATATGTCATCAATTATTATTGGTGTATTATTCTGTCCACTTATATTTTCATCGGACCAATATTCCCTATCAAGGACATATGTAAGTATACTAGAAGATGTCTACGTTTCTGTTGACGCTATTGAAATAGTTTCCACATCCTAAAAAATTTGTGGTATATTAAATAATGTCCAAACTTTTGTTAAGCTGTTCCATAAGCTACAGCAAAGTAAATGAAAAATACTTAAGAACGATGCCTGTTGACTTTCATCCAAAAAAGTTTTAAACCTATTTTTAAAAATCAGTCTTGGACCTACTTTTGGTATAAGTGCCTTTATTGTTTGGTCGTCTAGCAGATTGAAGCTTTCATCATCTATTCCTTCTGCTGTCATATAAATAACTGAGTTAACTTTACTGTTTTTAAGTTACGTAGGAGTTATTTATTTTGCACGATTAAGTAAATCAAGTTTAATAGCCGACAAACTCTGAATGTTGACATATCCCCACATCTCATCATTGTACCTTATTTCTCTTTGAATTTCAGAAAAATATTAGTAAGGAATAATTTGATACTTAATTAACGTCATTTTAAAAAATATAGGGTGTCTACAGTAGTAATGTTTTAATATTGTGAAATGTATAATTTTAAATATTTTTTTCTCGAAAACTACATTCGACCGGTGAAAAAAATTGTTAAAATGTGGGGTTAGGATGGTAAAAACCGCAAGTCTTATAAATGCTTTTTAATAATCATGGTTTTCTTTTGCAAAATTTAAATAGTAACAATAAGTACCTAAAACGTCAAGAATTTTATTTGAGTGCTTATTTGTTCTTTTATTTTTCGAGATTTCATTTTTTGGCCAAAAATATGGTGACCTTATATATACCGGAGCAATCACTCTAATGCTTGTAGATATATTTACCTTCAAAATTTTCTATAAATGTGTCGAGACCCCATTCCGACAATTTAATTTTATAATTGTACTGCGACGCCATTTTCCATAACCGGCTCTGGCCTCTGTCAAGGTCCAGCTCCACTACCAAGCTAAGGTAGAAAAAAATATTGTACACCTGTTGCTGTTGATTGGCAGTTCAGTATTTAAACTCCAAAAACACATTACGTAATTATCATTGAAAGCACAAATACCTAATTAATAAAAAAAATAAAATTTATATATACCTACAATACAATATTTAACGGTAACAGCTTACACACACATAGATCACAGCGAGTCGATCGTGATGTCGTGATTCCAAATCAAATGAGCACAAGCGCGCACGCGCATACGGTAGCCTGCGATTGGTTCTGCTAATAAATAGTATGATCCTTTAAAATGTAACTTTCGGCAGTAGTAAAATTTTTCTTTACTTTTCCTTTAGGATTGAAAACATATTTATAACTCTTATTAGAAATATATTTATAAAATTATATTTGCAGTCACAGTAAAGTAATCTGCTATTACAATAATATAATTTTTAATTGTTGTAAAACATATTTATTAAAGATACACATTCAAACCGCAGCAGAGTAACATAATTACCCACACCAAAAAAAAAAAACAAGTAATAGTAAAGTACATTTAGAAAACAAATTTCTTTTGCCACAACAAAGTGAATTTGCAGTTCTAATAAAAAAATTTACTACAAGAGCAAAAAAACACGTAGTAAAGAATTCTTTGCTGGTCATTTTCTCAGTGTAGTCATCGTCCAAATATTGGAGGGTAGTTTTAAGCCTTTTTCCGTTTTGACCTTTAACCAATTCTTTTTAGAAATGCCCAACACATAGATCTTTGAAAACACAAAAGTCGATGCGTCCAGATTATCATTTTTCTTCTTTTTTTATCACTGGTATTTTTAAAATTAATGTTTATAGATTTTAAAGTATGATATAATTTCATTCTTGAGTACAATTTAAGTAGGTATGTATAAGGAAAATTTTGACATGGATGCTCAAATATGTTATCCTTAAAGAGACTTAAAAATTGTTTAATTACTCCTTTTTGTAAAACGGTACTCTCAAAATTTTCATAAAATATTTTGTCTAAACCGACAATATAGTCAGTAAATTCATTGGGAGGCATTTTTAAATTACCAAAGATATTCTCAAATGTGTCGTATGCTTTCAGGTGGCAAAATGTTGACGTTTCATCAATCCCTACTTCCCTATTAATATTAATGTGAATGTAAGTTTGTTTGTTATGCTTTCAGGCGAAAACTACTTAACCGATCATCATGAAACTTTGTACACATATTCTTGGAGGTATTAGAGGTAACAGGATACTTTTTATTAAAAAAATATTTTTTACGAAAGATTTTCTATATTTATTGTTTCAGGTTAGGTGTCATTTTTGTGGTTAATTCGTGATTTTAATTCTTACTCTGTTCTTCTTTAAAAAAGCGGAAATCTGGTCTATCCAAAAATTCGTCGCGGGCCCGTGCCGCCAAAGTTGCACGAAATCAATTAATGACTTCAATGCGAGCGAAGCCGCGGGTAAAAGCTAGTACTTGTATAACTTTCTGAATACTCTACATATATCACAAGTATGAACTGACAAACACTTTCTTATTAAATAGCCACATATATATCGTAATGATTTTTTTTCGTGAATATTAATATTATAATAATCAGTACCAATTTGTGGTATGAATACTTGGCTTCTGCATCGGTATTTACTTCAAAATTTTTAATGTCCACATTTTGTAATGCAGCAAGCATTGTTGAAAAATCTTCCGCGCAGTTTTCTGTTCCAGAATGAAAAAAATCCATACAAAAAATTTTTTGAATGCCCTTAAAAATTGTATTGGGGTTGGCGAGATGGAATTTCCTCCTTGTTGCCTGATACTGCCAAAATAATTTTCAAGGCAACGTTGGTTTGTTCTTCGAGTCAACAAATAGGTAAACCCTTTATCAGACAAATTGTTCCAAATCTCCAATAATCTTTTTATTAATGTTTTCCATCCTCAAATGAGTGTCTCTAACATTTAGGCTGAATAATTTTGAAAATGTCAAACAACTTGTCGAACATTTCAGTAAAGTCAATAGTACCTCTTGCGTCACTTGGAAGTTCCCCATGACTTAAATATACATATTTCCATGCCAATAGCTACAGAAGCACTTAAGACTTGTGCTGCATACGAAACCGTCATTTTTCCAAATTGCTAGGGTTTACGTGTGATTCTGTCAATGTCCAGCAATATCTATTGCTTCTTGCGTTATTTTTGTAATACAATGCTTTTATGTGATCCCAAGAAGCTTTCTTCGAATAAATTTGAAAGGAATATTTCATTAAATTGTTTCGTATCGACTTAAGTAGATGAGGAGGAATGTCCAGCAATATCTATTGCTTCTTGCTTTATTTTTGTAATACAATGCTTTTATGTGATCCCAAGAAGCTTTCTTCGAATCAATTTGAAAGGAATATTTCATTAAATTGTTTCGTATCGACTTAAAGTAGATGAGGAGGATCAAAAATATATACAATCTCCTGATCATCTACAAAGAAATATATCCTGTCACATGTGACTAAGAATATTTGACAACTGGACAAAATTTGCTCCTTGATCGCTTATCACAGCTACAATATTTATTTATATTTATTTTATTTTAAAGATTTGTAGGAACAAAGTACATGGTGTTACAGAAAAGACTACTATTATTTTAACAAGTGATAGGTTGGATCACGAAAAACAAAAAAGATGCAAACTTACTGCTATTATAATATCACCATGTCAGGACGTTCGATAGTAGTAAACGTATTATTGTTGTCCTCGTTATCCATTGGCAATTTGGTTAAAACAATAACTTAAAAATAAAAATAAGAAACGTTTTTAATAAACACTTAACGTCTAAACAGCAGAAGCGCGATCTTTTTGACACAACTTAGCAGCAATTCACCCGCAAGTAAAAACCGTCCTGACACTAACTGACACTCCACAGGTGCCATGCGGAGTGCGGACTAGGTCAATGTTTTTTGCACTATGTCAAACAGGACCGGCATTAACATTTTGTCATTTGTAATTTTTTGGAAAATATTTTTGATACTCAAATCTCATAATCGCCTTATGGTAGCATATATTGTTTTACTTCATTTATTGTCAAGAGTCTAGGTTTTTAATTTTCTGCATTAAACACGCCGCACCCTGTATATAGTTTCAATTGCAAGCTTTAATTGCATGGCTGGGCAAACACTGTGTACAAAATAATAACCTACTGGTTGCTTCCAGTTACTGGATATGCCTCTCAGAATAAAAACTGTAGAGTTCAAAGCAGCTTTTAATTTTTTCGTACCGTTATCGTTCTCAAATCCACTTCCATTTCATCAGTAGTAACATTATAATATAAATGGGATTTTATTGACATTTCGTCCATTGTTAAATTACAATATCTGTCTAAATTAGGTATTCAATTGATCAATTTGTGATCAAATTGAAACTAGAGATACACACTCAATATTGTTATTTTCATATCAGGACAATTTTCAATTCTTAATAATTTATAATAATAAATTAAATAATAAAAAATATATGTCTATTTGATTACCAGGCAAGTTATTTCTTCTTCCAACAAGTCTGGGTCGACTTCAAAATTTTCATTTGGGTTCAAATCAGTTCAGATGTCTCTATAAATAGAAAATGCAATAATTAAATGTTAATTTTTGCAATGTTTATTGTAAAATATCTGTGTCTAGGTACAAGCTAATGTATACGCAGAATTAAGAATTATGTACACACAAAATGATGACATCAATCTTCTACCATTTTATTTTGCAGGTTTGTGTGTACCTAAATACAGCGGTAAAATGCACAATTGGTGGGTCAAGCCGTTAACCACATATTCTTTGGACTAAAATAATGGGACTTTCCTTATGCTACTTTTTACTTTGGTGCGTCATTTTCAAAATACAGGATGTTAAAATTTTAAAAACGATTTCTATTAATAGTTCCGGTTGGTTTAGAGATATTTATATGAAATTTGACACATATTTTTGTCTTAGGATGGCACACTTTTTGTGCGATTTTGATCTAAAATATTAAAGCACGAACAGAGGAAAGGGGAGTTGCGTCATCCACGGCCCCCATTTTTTTATGCTTATAACATTTTCATCTGGGGCTTGGTTTACAAGATATATTGCAACTTTTTTGGATTCCTTCAGTTTGGCACTCAGTATTAAATGATCGTTTCCATTTTATTCAAAATATTGAAATAAAAAAGACAGCACAACTAACAACAAATAGTATAAAAAGATGAAAACCCAATTTAATTAAATATATTAAATGTACTATATTCACGATACACACTAATAATAGACCCTTTTAATGAGATAGTTTTAAATATTCGGGTAAATACGTGGTTTCAACATAAAATGCTGAGTAAAATATCTTTTTTTTTCAATTTCTTGAATAAAATGGGAACAATCATTTAATACTCAGCGATATTTAATTAGTGCCAAACTGCACACATCCAAAAAAAGTTGCAATATCTTGTAAACCATGCCCCAAATGGAAATGTTATAAGAGTAAAAAAAATTATTAAGAAAACGGTCTATTTAAAAAAAAATATTTTGAGGGCATAGGCGTACTCAAAAAATATTGGGATGTCCGTGGGTAACGCAACCCCCCCTTTTCTCCGTTCTTATTTTGATATTTTAGATCAAAATCACACAGAACGTGTGTCATCCTACGATAAAAATATGTGCCAAATTTCAAATTTGACACCCTGTATTTTGAAAATGAGGCTCCAAAATGAAGAGTGGTATAAGGAAAGTACCATTATTTTAGTCCAAAGGATATGTGGTTAACGGCTTGACCTACTAATTTGTGACACCCTATATACCTACTTGAACTAGTATGTATTTAAAAATCAATATATATCTACGGAAATATCTTCCGAAACAACCTTCTTTGGAAGTAAGTCCATACCTTTATCTTTCGATGTTCCTAAAAGAGTGCAAGTGTATAAACCACTAAATATTAAATTGCAAAAAAAATTGTATTATACCTAGTTAAAATTGCAATTCGTGACTTGGAAGACTTTAACACATTTATTTGTTTTAAACACGTTTATTGATTACTAGATAGTTCGTACAGGTTATGACTACTGTTACTATTACACTAATGATGAGAGATCTCGCATGAGTTTATATAGGGATCTCTTATCATTTACATTGACGTCAATTAGATAGGCAAAGTATACATAACGATGTATTATGCATGAAGGACAACAAGATATAAAAATAAAAGAAGATCCGGGTTCTGTACAGGGTGTGTAACTACCTGGTACTGAATTTCCACTGGGGAATCATTGATATCTTCCTGCACGTGTTCTGAAAAAAATATAAGTACATACTCGCAGCAATATAAAGGTTTCCAACCTAAAAGGCATACCTACTACCTTTAAATGAGCGAGCCCCAGGGGGTTATTAATATGAATTTTAAAAGATTATGGCTGTCAATTAGTGATGG